CTTTTGTAAGTCATGCTAACTCTTGGTATGGGTTCTAGTTAGTTAGACATCTCCCCTGCCATTGAGAAACTTAATTTATTTCTGGTGGGAGGCTGGTAATAATGATGGGGGAAGAACCAGTTCTCCTGCCCAACCCCTACCTTTGCCCATCCAAGAGCAGGAGTCAGAGGGGTCCAACCAGTCTAGGCCTGATAGCCAGGCCGACTGTGGCTGTTGAATGGGATGTGCCCAGTCTGTCTGGACTGAATGAGCCCTAAATGTGGTGGTAACTGTCCACACAAAACAATGGTCACATACAGGACTGGAATTCAGCTTCTAGCTCTTTAGAACTCACTCCTTGTGACCTAGAATCGAAATCAGCACTTCTTAAACTGTGGGTCATGACCCCATATGGGGTTGTGAAAATTTTGTCAATAGAAGAAAGTTTGTGAACATGCAAGGACCAAAAATTAATTAAAAATCAAATGCATAATGAATCCGAGGTGTTTCTGGCAGCACTTGCCTGTGTTGCATCATGCAACTTCACTGAAGCCTTGGTTCTGTACACACAGCATGCACACTTTGCACCACACATGCCCTCAGGCCGTGCAGCTCCAACTGACACTGCTGAAATGAGAAAAGGTGTCTTGAGTGGAAAAAGTTTAAGAAGCCCTGGTAGATGAGGGGAAGCAGCAGGCTCTGTTAGCAATGTCTGAAGCCCCATGCACTAGTAATGGCCGTGTTTTGGCTTAGCTGCCCAAGGTATGTATATCCTCTTCTACCTGTGACATGGTGACTGGTGTGCCGTACATCACCAAACATAAGGATCTCGTTATATATAAGGGGGGTGCATGCCAATGGTTTGGCCAGGGAAGTAGCCGTTGTAGTGGTGTTCTTCATGAAGGGAGATTTCAGCAGGAAGGTCAGAGTATCCCTTGAGCAGGGAAAACATGTAGTCCTCACTTCAGGGCCTGGCTGGATGCTGTAACTGAGGGCTGGTCGTGTGTTCATGGAGTGGGCTCATTGGCTGCCCATTGTCAGTAGCCCAGGTAGCTTCAGGGTGGGAGTCAGAAAGCTTCCCTGACCTCCTGAACATTCTTCAGTGTACTTGAGGGCCATTGCTGAATGTCTTCGCCCTGTGATTCATAGTTATACACTCTCAGGATGGGATAAGCCAGGTAGTCTGTCCTGTAGCAGGAGGAGCATGCTCGCTTAGCTGAAGCACAGGGGCTGGATTGTTCGATGGGTTGGGGTTAGGGTTAGTGGTCAGCATGGTAGAGGAGGCCTTGATGAGACCAGGGGTAGACTGGTGGGTGCAGATCTAGGTTACTTTCACCTCCAGCAGCGTGCAGGACCAGAGTGAGCCCTGGGACAGCAAGCCTGTGCCGGCATGCCCAGATGTGGTGGCCTGAGATGGCTGTATTAGCTGCTTGAGTTTCTCTGTGCCCAGAAGAACCCGGCCCTGTTCACACGGCAGCCCCAGCACTGACAGGTACCCTCCATCCCTGCTGCTATCTCAGAGTGCTCCCAGTGCTATCCGGTGGGACTGTATGCCCAAGCCTGCAGGGAAGGGCCCCCCTTTCCTTCTTGTGCCACTTTCCCCATGCATTTGGAGTGGCTGCCCTATTTCCAGCCTAGGGGAAAATACTTCCAGTACTCTAGCAGGATTTACTCCCTGCTGTACAAGCAGAATAGATGACTGCCTCCATTATGAGACCGTGGGGGAATCAAGAAAGCCCCTGCCAGAATATTCTCCTGCCTCCCCCCCACAACCAGATTCATTCTTTTGGGACAAACATTTGAAGATACTCCAGGGAACGGTGACCTTATGCCATCATTAGTCATAAATATCTTGGTGGGTATTGACTTATGACTATGGGAGAACCCTGAGAAGGCAAGTCTGGGTAAGAGGCCTTGGGCAGGCAGACATTAAGTAGCAGGAGGATACCTGGTACCTGTTGGTGGTGAGGAATCACTACCTTGGGGAGAAAGATGTCAAAGGGGAGATCAGGGGTCCCCAAAGACCTAACGTGCTATTAGGTGAGGGCCAGCAAGGTTGGATCAGATCTCAGGTGCCTTCCAGCTCTAATAGTTTGATTCAGTAATCCTAGGACATTAGTGGGAATAGAGGGATGATGTTTCTCTGAAAGGAATGAATCTGGTAAGGTCAGGTTCATGGGAGCTTTCTTGATTCCTCCTCCAAATCACACCCTCGTGCAGTCATCTCTTCTCTCTCTTTGTACAACGGGTTGTAGGCCCTGGCTAAAATAGTACTGTTCTAGAAGCATGGAGGCTGTTTCAGATGCTTTGGTGTTTTCCCTCTTGGTTGGCTCTGGGGATGATAACACAGAGAAGAAAATGGAGGACATGTTTAGAAATGACAAGGATGTCAAAACCAAAGGCATAAGTGAAACAACATTTTAAAGGGGCATAGTGCTTAAAACCTTAGTGCTTTTCTCTTAACTTATCTACATTTTAAAAACTGGAGCTTAGCACAGTGCCTGGCACATGACAGACGTTTAAGAAATGATCACTAACGAATTGATTTAGAACTCACGACTTTCTAAGTAGGCTTTTATTCCCTTAGGAAGGTTACATGAGCCTTCCTTTCCCTTACCCTTGGATTTTACCCAGTCTTTGGTTTTGTATCTCTAATGTATTATTTTGTATTGTAATTAATTATAATATTATTGTTTCACTGATGTTCTTCTCTTATGCTTCACTGTAGCTTGACGTGACTCTGGGTTCTCAAAGGTGTCAGTTCTGAGCTCAGCAACAGATTTTGTCCTCTAAGGACCTGCCTAAGTGCTAAGACATTTTTTATCTTGTTGACCTGAGTGATTAATTTTTCCCCAAAATAACTCATGAAGACAATTTAATTTACTGAAGTATGGGGGTATATGATATGCATTGGTGGTGGAAGTAGCAGGAAATATGATGAGAAAGATAGGTTGGGGTCAAAGTGTGGAGGGCCTCGAATGTAAGGCTAAGGAGCTTATTGGTAGGGCAGTGGGAAGCCATTAAAAAGTTGTGAGCATTTTAGTGATCCAGTGGACCATCCCTCCCTTGGCTCTTAGCTCCTGCAGGACAGGGACTGCCTTTTTTTCTTTCTTTGTATCCTAAGTGCCTAGCCTGTGCATGGTCCGTAGTAGGGGCTTGATAAATGCCCATTGAGTCATCTGGGGCAGCTAGGTGGCACAGTGGATAGAGTACTGGCCCTGAAGTCAGGAGGACCTGAGTTCAAATCTGGCCTCAGACCAAACACTTGACACTTACTAGCTGTGTGACCCTGGGCAAGTCACTTATTGCCTAAAAAATTACCTAAAAAAAATTGCCTAAAAAAAAATAGATAAATGCCCGTTGGCTTGACATTCTAATTCTCAGTGTACGTGATTTTCTCATAGATCAAAACCAATTCCATTTGAAGTTTTATCTGAAAGTATAGTGGGTCATCCTTGAATGCATTAGCAAATGATAATGCTAGCTAACATTTTATGTAGCACTTTAAGGTTTGCAAAGCACTTTACACGTGTTATCTCATTTGAACCTTCGTAAAGGTAACAAAACAAAACAACCTCTATTCTGAAATCTTCTTTGCTTCTGAAATGGACTTCTTAGAAACGACAGTTCATCCTTCCATGGACCAACATGGAAGCCAGGTAGCTTGGTGAGTAAAATGCTTGACTTGAATTCAGGGAGACCTAAGTTCAAATCTCCCTTCAGACACTTAATCAGCTGTATGACTCTGGACCAGTCACTTAGTACTAGGAGGGTTAGCTGTTTCAATTGTTGCAAAACTTTTAAAAAATAATTTTACTACAATTTACTATGCTTTCTCTTATCTATGCAAAAATATTTTAGATACAAATAATTATAAGCAAATAGTATAATTTTACTTTGAAAGAAAACTTTTTAAACTGCTATCTCAATTTTCTTCTTGTTTTATGGATAAAAAAAGCACTATCAGTTGATGTAGCTTGGTCCTATGAAGTATCACTAAATTTGAGTCATTTTCCCATCTGTAAAATGGGGATAATCACAGCATCTCCCTCCTCGGGTTGTCGCGAGGCTCAGATGAGAGAATATATTTAAGTGTTGTGAAAACCTCAAGGCAGCGTCTGCATGTTAGCTTTGCTGGTATTGCAGTTGTCATCGCTGTCATCTCCTACTGTCATCTGCTGGAAACCTGGGAGTGAAATGATTGCAGATGATGAGGAGGCTGTAGAGGGGACGCCTCAAGGTATGGATTGGGCTACAAAGGATGATCTCTGGGCTTCTTTCTGATTCTGAGATTTTGCTGAGTTCTTTCAAGAGGCCGCATGGTATCATTTATTGGCATCAAACTCAAATGGAAACAGAGCCCTACAGGCGCATACTGACTTAGAGGACCACAGATCAACATTATTGAAGTTGCATTGTATTTTTATTTTGTTAAACATTTCTCTGACATTTAAATGTGGTTCACACTGCACTGGGTAGTTGTAATTGTGACTCCTTTGGTCTAGTGGATGGGAGCCTGTACTTGGAGTCAGGAAACTCTTGGTTCAGATCCCCACCTCAGACCCTTTAGTAGCCGTGTGACCCCAGGCAAATCACTTTAACCTCTCTAGGTCTCAGTTTCCTCATTTGTAAAAGGAGAGGTGGAACTAGGTCACCTCTGAGGTCAATTCCAGCTCTAACTAGCTGTCATCTTCTCATTCTCCAATTCTCTTAGTCTCATATTTGCAGATACTGACAAAACCTTGTTCTGGGCAGAGTACACATCCATAATTATTTCTGGCTTTGATAGATTTTTAATAATATAATGGAAGCTCATAATAGGAAAATATCATCAAAGCAAGTTTCCCTGTTTTATAGGTGAATGTAATTCAATAAACATTTGTTAAGCAGCAACTGTATACAAAGCACTGCATTGTATAGCTTCTGTCTTCATGGAACTTATAGTCTAATTGGAGGTTGAGGCACATGCATTGGTCATTGTACTTCACTGCTTCATTGATTCTTCAATGTCCTCTGTGTAGGTGCTCCTCCAGCAGAAGATCTCCATGAGTTGTTTGTTGTGGCTGAAAAATGAACCATCCTGAGGTTATGTCCAGGACAGGCCTCTTGGCACTAAGGTAGGCTGATTCTCTGACAACATAGAAGCTATTGCTGAATCCTTCCAACTGCTCTTATTGGGTTCTTAATCCACTTCTTCATTCCTATGGGGGAAAGTTAGGCTAAGTCAGGGGTAGGGAACCTGCAGCCTCGAGGCCATATGTGGCCCTCTAGGTCCTCAAGTGTGGCCCTCGAGGACCTAGAGGGCCACATGTGGCTTCGAGGCCACAGGCTCCCCATCCCTGGGCTAAGTTCTTATGCCTAGCTTATAAATAATAAGTAACCCTTTCAGAGAAAACTTCAGGTTTCATTTTGCTTTATGAGAAAAATCTACCTGGTGGTCTATGTCACTGAGAATTCAGATGTTCAAGTCTGGGTCCTGCACTAGGTAACTTCACCTCTTTGATCTCATCACTTCTCAGCTCCCAACCTTTTCAGTGGCTACCAAGTAAGCTCCTTAGTTTGACATTCAAAGCCCTCCATAATTTGTCCCTAACCTATCTATTCTGCTATGTCTCCTGCCCCCTCACACAGTGGAGCTCACACCATCCCCCTGTCCCTCCATGCCTCTGTAAATGGTCTTCTTGAGGTATTGTGAGCGAAGAATCAATTACTCAGTGTTGGTCCACTGAGGACAAAGCGTTTGCTGAACTCAAAACTGAGGCCTTTGAGCACCCAGGGTTACCTTCAGGCTTTGTGGGGTATCAGCTGGGAACATCAGGGCCAAATTACATATGAGAAGTTTATTAGAGGGCTACAAAGCCATGTGCTAGGTGAATCCAGAGGTTGGGAAGGAGAAAGTGAAAGGGGTGGAAATAAAGTTAATATTGTGATCTTCCTGAGTGGATTTTGATCTCACAAAAAAGTTATGAAGTCTCACTACCACTTTGAATTCTCAAGAAAACAGTAAGAATGAAAATCTTTTCCAATTTGGTTGATTGCATGTAGCCTTACTCCACTTTAAGTTCATCCGCTCAGGGTAGCCCTTAGTGAGTAAACCATATGGGGATACTGTGTACTCTAATCCTTGGATGGATCTGTGGCCTCCTGGGTGTGGAGATCCCATCCACTGGTGCAGATCACTGCTCTTTCATGCCTTCTCATCCTCTGATTCCAGTTTGTGTGTTTTCTTAATCCCTTCATAGAGGGCCCATCTCAGTATGCTTGAAGATCTTTCTTCCTTTCAGGATCTCAGGGGTATCGATATGTGATACTTCGTCCTTCCATACTTTGTTGCTCATCCTTTCCATGACTGGCCACAGCATTTTCTCATTACACATAAGTTGGATGGTGTCTTTGACACCACTTCTTATGTGCAAGTGACTCCTGAAATATGTTGTAGCCCATGTACATTCACCGTATATCTTTCCATTCCTCTTTGGATTACTTGTAATTTTCATTCTTCTGAGACTGTTATCCTGTGATTTGTAGCCATGTGATGTCACTGGATGAATATTGGTATGAAGGAGATGGATTCTCGCATCAGGGAGCAATTTGAGATCACTGAAAACTCCAAAAACCAGTTTCCATATTACAGTCTTGCTTGCTCTCTCACTTAATTTGGGGCCCAGTTCATTGTCCACCCATAGTCCATGTCCCCAAGATAGAGCTAGTTATGTGTGTGTCCCTCTTGGTGAGAAACTTAGTATTGCACTAATGGCTTTATCCAGGTGGCATCTCTTAATTTGCTCTTCAATGGCAGTGATATAAAGGGATAAATTCCATCTTTGGAAAGTCTGCTTTCCTTTTTCTGGCTTACATAGGCATAAAATACTCATACTCATAGTTGGTTAAGGTTCTATAATATCAATGCTTTAGGCAGTGTGGTGCAGTGGACAGAGTGCTAGACTTGGAATCAGAAAGAACTAGATTTAAATCCTGCCTGTGGCACTTTCTAGCATCACTTAGTGTCTACCCCGATAAATGGAGGTGAACATACCTATGGTACTAACATCACAGGATAGCTTTGATGATCAAGTGAAATGATGTTTGTAAAATGCTCTGTAAACTTTAAGGTGCTGGCATTTATGTAATGCTTTAAGGTTTACATTTCTTAACTTATTTGATTGTGAGGTAGGAGCTAGTATTATCTTTATTTTATAGGTGGGGAAACTGAGGCACAGAGAGGTTAGTTTCTGAGACAGAGTTTTAACTCAGGTCTTCCTGACTGCAAGGTCTGTGGTCTCTTCACTGCATCAGTTGTTTTTGTTGTTTAGACATGGTGGACAGGGGGGTTAAAAAATATGAGATTAATATTGCTCTAGTTCTTCTGGCACCACTTTTGAGAAGTTACAAAACATTCTGGAAGCTCCCTTCCACTTCCCCTCCTTTTTACTTTGCCCTTTTCCTTCTTTTCTTGTTGTTTTTTCCTTCTATTTTCCCACAAGCCCCTTTCCCTTCTCCTACTCCCAACCCTCCTACCTGCCCAAAGTCCTGACTGGGGAGGAAGAGGAGGAGTGACAGTTGGTGGGCACAGGAGGAACGACTGAAGTTTTTTCTCCACTCAAAGCGCTGATTGATAAGAAGCCAACACAAGGGATTGGAATAGGAGCTATTCAACAGTCTTTTATGTTTCTTTTTGTTGATCCAACTTAATGGTTCCCACCAGCCGCTCACTGCACAATCCCCATTGAATTGGCCATTTGGGTTGAAAAACAGACTAAATAAAGGAATGAGTGAAATGCCTCGCTTTTGATTCATATTGAGCATAGCCAAGGTATCATAAACTCTTGGAAGGCAGAACCCATTGTAAGAATTCAACAACAAGTGTTTATTGTGCACCTACCCTGTACAAGGTACTTCTCATGGCAGAGATGCAAAGACAGATGTAACACAGACCCAGTTCTCAAGGAACTTTCAGTCTGATAGATGGGAAGACATATTAACACATAATTCTGATACAAGGGAGAGTCAAATAAGTACGAGGAGAGGGCCAGAAAAAATGCTATGAGAAGTTCAAAAAGGGAGAGATCACTTTCACGTGCCGAAGCAAATTAGAGAAATCAGGAAGGAAGAGGGGGCATGTGATTTGGGCCTTGAAGGAAGGGGTGGATTTCAACATAGAGTTTGGTGTGGGGAGAGCATCTTCCAGGGAGGGGGGATAGCATGAACAAGGCATGGAGAGGAGGAGGATGAGATGCACTGCAGTTTGGCCGGAATGTAGAGTTTGTAAAGGGAAGGAATACGCAATGGGGCTGGAAATGTAGGTTGGAGCTGGATTGTAGGGAGCCTTGAATGCTAGGGTCACAAGTTTAAATTTTCTTCCATAGGCAATGGGGATTGGTGGAAGGTGTTGGATCATATGATCATAACAGTGCATTAAGAGGATTACTCAGCATTGTAAATGATGGATTGGAAAGAGGAGAGACTGGAGGCAGGGAGGACAATTAAAGAACTCTTTGAAATAGGCCAAGGAAGAGGAGATATTTTGTGTTTCTTCATTCATATCTTAGCACCTAATCTATTCTGCACAATAATAGGAATTGAGTAAACCTTGTTATTGGTGGTGATGGTGAATGTTCCTGTTCATAGAATCCTTTTTCAGAATTTGACAGGATCTGGCAATGATCTGATTTCTTAGACATGAATTAAAAAAAACAAACCCATAAATTTTTGAAAAAACTTTCCATGTAAGAATACTGAGCGCACTTCATTTTTTCCACACAAATTCCCTGTGAGTCAGGCAGAGTGGGGAGTATTTTATGCCAGTATTACATCCGCATATTAAGGGTAGAGAAAGGTTAAGTGATTTGCCCAAGGGTGAACAGCAAGTTGATGGCAGGTGGCTGTGGACTCTTCTTTTCCAGGACTCTTCTTTTGATCTATAGGGTGGAAAGTGAAGGAAATATATAATTATGTGATAAATTCAGGCAGTGTTCATAGCCAATCTATATAATTCAAGACCCTAAGCAAGACATTTTCTCAGCTATCTGGATAATCTAGCAAAATTATAGTTTGGAATCTGAAGAATCAGGATAATTGTACTATACAGACCTGGCCTCTCTGTAGAAATTAGACTGGACTTGTGATTTCATTGACGTAGGGAACAACCAGGGGAGGAAACTCCCTCTGTTAATGCAACTTATAATTGCAGAGAGTTGCCTAGAGCCCTCCCTAAAAGGGTAAGTGATTTGTCCGGGTCACGTAGCCAGCATGTGTTAGAGTTGGGACTTGAACTCAGGTCTTCCTGGTTTTGAGGCCAACTTTGTCCATTTTGCCATAATGCCCATAGGCCTCTCTATGCATTATCTAATAATGTAATAGTTTTTCATCCATCTGAAACCAAAATCAAAGTTTAATGCCAGATTTTTATGTTAGAAAAGTAAATATGAATGTGTGATTCTTGGCCACTTCAGCAGTTTGTTTTGAGATGAGTTTAGATAAATCTTCTAATTGAAAAAAAATAATCAGATGTAATATCAAGTGTAACTTTGATTTTAATTAACTAAATGAATAAGATGCATTTTCACAGTAATAATAGCAATCTAATAATTTTATTTGATCTTTTAGTCCTTTGGAGAAAGGGGAGCCCAATGCTAATTAAGCATGACTCTCATATTCCTTTGTAGTGCAGATAAGAATTATGGCACTGATTGGTCCATATTGATTTGTCTTATATAGCCTGTGGTACAACCTTCAGTGGACCCTGCTTGGATCTGATCTTTGAGAATTTTCATTAGTAACTTGCCTAATCACCTGTCTGTCTCTGCTCCCCCGTCAGAAAATTGCGAACTTCTGAAGTTGTCTAGATATTAAGCTGGGAGCGGCTAAGTGGCATTTCAGTGGATAAAATGGTGGGCCTGGAGTCATCTTCCCGAATTCAAATCTGGCCTCTGACATTTACTAACTGGGTGACCCTAGGTGAGTCACTTCACCCTATTTACCTCAGTTCTTCGTCTGTCAAATGAGCGGGAGAAGGAAATGGCAAACCACTTTAGTATCTTTGCCAAGAAAACCCCAAATGGGGTCATAAAGAGTCAAACATAACTGAAAAAATGAGTGAACCACAAGAGTTATTAAG